GTATTTGCTCAAGGGCCATTTAATGCAGCATTCCTCCGCTTCGGCTGTATTAGGACTTTGTCAGCTCAAGAAATACACAAAACCTAACAAGAGCAAAAAGAGGGCTGCCAATGCAGATCTCTCCTTCTGAAAATGTCAGTTGCCTGGCCTACCTCTTGATTCTCTGGCTTCAATATTAAGAATTGTTCTCTTAAAACATATATGGCTTCAGAGGATACATGGTCTGGTCTGTGAAACATTTAGGCCAGAGGGAGCCATGCAACTAGCATTTCAGGAGGACAGCAGTGGTATTCCCCATATTTCTGTAGTCAAAGTGCTATTAAAACCTAGCTTAATTATTCTCTTCTCTAAAATCACTAATAGTGTGTGTACAGGTTTTTAACTGTAATATTTCCGTTTAAAGACAGACATATATGACATTTTTATTTTCTCTTCAACTTTCCAGGTGTGACATTTGCTGCATATCATTTCGCACCCATCGAGGTCTACTACGCCACAATGCTGCAATCCACAAGCTACTCCCCCAGAGACCCTACAGGGAAGCCTTTTATTCAAAACAATCCCTCCATCCCTGCAGGCTTTAACGACTTGGGCTTTACTGACTTCTCTTGCAAGAAGTTCCCTATCATTTCTCAGGTAAAGTCGCAAGTGTATAACTGAATGACCAGAAATGCTTTAAAGCAATAGCAGAAGATAAAATTGCTTATCACTAGAATGAGTAGACTTTAAAACTCAGACATACCCTTCAATATTTTCCTGATTGTGATTAACAGTTTGAGGCTGAATATTTGTTCAGAGTAATCTCATAATTGTAGAAGATCAAGGTCAATACTTTGAACAAGCCACATAATAAAACTACCCATCCTTTACCGCTTTTTAAAGCTAATTTTACTAGCTGTATAGTTCATCCAGTAATTAAAAACATACATACTGTCTGCAAAAAAAGTAAACATGACATTATATATATATATATATATATATTTATGGAATAAAGTTTTTCAGAGAATCATAATTAAATTGTAAGGTACCAAGTATGCTCATTCTGTATCCATTTTTTATAAGCCATAGCTACATTAACAACGTTTAGTGTTCCTAAGTGATATTTTCATATTGAAGAAAAGCCTATTTATTTGTACACATTATCTTAGTGTGTTCAAAGTATATAATATGTTCACATACATGAGTGTTAGATTTACATTCTTAAAGGCATAAAGGCAAAAAGCTTTGTGTAAAGCTAAAATTTACAGTTGTGCTCAAAGTTTGCATACCCATGGAGAATTGGTAAAGTACTGTACAGTGTGTACCATTTTTAAAGAAAACACGAGTGAGCAGGTAAAACACATTTTATTTCTTATGGGATTTATATTCAAATATAGGTCATAATCATAATTCAAAACATGGAAACAAGTAAACAAATGATATTACCCATGTTCAAAAGTCTGCAAACCCTTAGTTCTTAATATTGTGTATTGCTCCCCTTAGCATCAATGACAGTGTGCAGTCTTTTGTAATAGTTGTCTATGAGGTCCCAAATGCTTGTAGTTGGTATAAAGCTACCCATTTGTCTTGGCAAAATGCCTCCAGGTCATGCAAAGTCTTTGGCTGTCTTGCATGAACCACACATTTGAGATCTCCCCAGAGTGGCTCAATGATATTAAGGTCTGGAGACTGGGAAGGCCACTCCAGAATCTTCACCTTTTGCTGCTGTAACCACTAGAGATTCAACTTGTCCTTGTGCTTATGGTCATTGTTATGCTGGAAAGTCCAAGAGCATCCTGTACACAGCTTTCGTGCAAAAGAAAGCGAATTGTCTGCTGCATTCATCTTGCCATCAATTTTCACAAGATTCCACGTGCCTTTAGAACTTACACACCCCCAAAACATCAGTGAGCCACCACCATGCTTCACAGTGCGGATGGTATTCTTTTCATTATATTCCTTGTTGACCCCTCTGCAAACATAACGTTTATGGTTGTGACCATTAAGCTCTATTTTGGTCTCGTCACTCCAGATTACAGTGTGCCAGAAGCTGTGAGGTGTGTCATGGTGTTGTCAGGCATATTCTAACTGGGCTTTTTTTGTGGTTTTAAAAAGGAGCCATACAACTATGTGATAATAAATGGCTTCATTATCACTATCCTTAACAGCTTCCCTGCCGCCCTATAGCAGAAATATTGCTACAGGGCGGCAGGGCTGCACAAAATCACGTGTATATATACGTGATCTGCATTTCCAGGTAGGGAGCGCGCACACGTGCTGCCCTACCCGTGTCGCCAATAAAAACACACACAGCCGTACAACAGTATTGGGTAAACAACACAGGTCTCTCTCCTGCCAGCAGTAACATGCTGGCAGGAGAGAATAAAAAATTCCAGTATATATACCACCATTTGTAGATGCTATGACTTTCACATGAACCAATTAATTTACATGTATTGGGATTTTTTTTTTTTAGCAAAGCATGTAGCAAAATACATTTTGTCCTAAATTTAGGACAAAATTTAGATTTTTTTAAATTTATGTACTGGGTATGTTTTTTATAGCAAAAAGTCGAGATATATATATATATATATATATATATATATATATATATATATATATATATATATATATTTTTTTTTTTTTTTTTTTTTTTAAATTGTCAGGTTTTTTTGTTTATAGCGCAAAAAGTAAACACCCCACAGGTAATCAAGTACCACTGAAAGAAAGCTCTATTTGTTGGGAAAAATGGAAAGAAATTTAATTTATGTAAAGCGTTGCATGACCGCGCAATGATCAGTTAAAGTAACGCAGCACCGTATCAAAAAAAAATTGGCCTGGTCAGAAAGGGGGGTAAATGCTCTGGAGGGCAAGTAATTAAATAAAAGACAGTTTTTGGCATTAGCAGTCATATTTTCAATATCAATGCCGAAACGTCATGATTTCCGCCAGGATATGCAAACTTTTGAGTACAACTGTATATGTGTTTTTGTTTTGTTTGCTTTTTTTCGGGGACGGGGGGTTTACGTTAGTAACTTAGTACCTTAGTAACAGTAGTTTTGTTCAGTCAGTTTTGGTTGAGGCACTCTATCCAGACATCATAGCCAGGCCGGTGAAATGACAAATATTATCACTAGCTGTACTGTACTTTAGTCTGCTGAATGGACAATAAAGGAGCATCACTGCACAAATTAATTTCTCTGCTCTTCTGCTCTCTCCTATTGCAGGCAGAATGTACTTCTAGATTGAGAGCACTATGCAATGCAGTGGAGCCTGACTGACTGACTAATACTGCTGCTTCTCTCTCTTTTAGTCTTGAGTACTGCAGTATTGCATGAAACCAATATAAAGATAAATCCAGTTCTTATAGCATAGCTGTTTAATAAATGCACAATTGAATCAACTTTTGAACTTTTCTGTCCGGAGTGGAGCTTTAAATGCAGCCATATTTTATTTTAGACTTAACAAATTCCAAGTTCTTATGCATCATAGGCCAAATATAGCATTCATCTTGTTTTCATAATACAGAATTGATCATTATAAGCGTTATACAGGCTGTTCGGTTAGTTGGCTTTATTCAGACTGGTCTATTACTTAGGGCACTTCTCTCATACAGTGACAGCAGAGGGCACTGAGGCAGACAATCGCGCAACTTTGACAGCAAGTCCTAAAGTCAGTTTCGTTCAAACCATCTGTCATTCATTGGACTGTAAGCAGTTCATAACTTAGATCCAGGCTGGATTGGTTTAAATCAATTTTATTCCGAAGTAATTATAACTAATTGCTTGGGCATCGGGAGTAGAGTTAATCTCTGGGAGGGGCATGTCTTAGATATACTGCTGCTCCTGCACTAAGCTGCTATTTAAAAATGGAGAACAAAAGAAGATGGTCAGCTGTGTGTTTTGTGCAAAAGGCTAGATGCGGTGTATCACAGCAAGACATGCAATGCTCTTTGGGTTTCTATAGCAGTAAAGGGCTTATCATCCTAATCCCCAGTTCACAAGGCTTTAGATGGCATGTGGACAAAAAGAAAAAAAAATGCTGGTCTGCCCTTAGACCCAGATAGACATTAACCCATCCCCAGCCAGAGTAGGACATGATATCTGTAGACATAATTATGTTTCTGTAAGTTCATGTCATGATGCAACTTACAATATAACCACATGCAAATCAATGTATCTATATATTGTGTGTATGTACTTACTGTGTGTGCGAATGATTGTACCATTTATGCACTTAGTCTATACAGTATAGTAAATTCTATGTTTTAATCACAATATCTTTGCCTGTGCCCTAGGTATGGTGTGAAACCAACTTGCGTAGATGCATCAGTGAATTGCACAGTTTCATCTGTGAATCCTGCAACAAGGCATTTCCAATGCCATCTGCTCTCAAACTGCACATGGAAACCCACAAAGGTGATCAGGTAGCTAATCAGCACAAAACTGAAGACTCATTGGAGGATAGTCAAGACAAACAATATTTCATGGCAGCCCTGGGTCTGCAGCACACCAAAGACACAAAGCCAGACAGTGAGGAGGACAATTCACTGGAAAGTGCCCATGGCGCGCATATAGAAGCTATAAAGAGCAGCCTACCTCGTGAGCTTGGTAGCAGCACAAACTGTGCTGAAGTTGTCACCCATAGAAGCATCATCTGTGGGTAGACCTTTTGCAGTACTGCCACCAACAAGAGAGAACCTAAAATTGCTTTCTCTGCAGCCTTTCCAAAAGGGCTTTACTGTACAGCCTGACAACAGTATTGTAGTAAAACCAATCTCTGGAGAACTAGCTGATATTCAGCAAATATTAAAGATGGCTACTTCTGCACCTTCTCAGATCAGTCTTCCACCTTTGTCTAAAGCTTCTACTGCTGCTTTCAAACATATGCCACCTCTTAAGCCAAAGCCTCCAGTTACTCCTCGTACTGTTGTTGCTGCCTCAACACCGCCATCTGTAGTTGCAAACCAGCAAGCCTCTCCAGGCTGTATCAGCCCTAGCCTTCCTGCTCCACCCCTTAGAATGATAAAAAATACTGTGGAATCTTCCACAAGCGCTGTATATTTGCAATCCAGACCTGGAGTGACCTACAGTTCCTCTGCTCAGAATTCCCAAGTACCCAACTCAGAATCTGTGAGTCAGAAAGACCTGAAGACTCAGCTAGAACAGGACAGTATTATAGAAGCCTTGTTGCCTTTGGATTTGGAGGCAAAGATCAAACAAGAAGGAACTGAAGGAGATCTGAAATCAAATATTCCTGGATCAAATGGCAAGAAACCAACCCAAGCTAAAAAAGTATTGTATCCTTGCAGTTTCTGTGATCAGGTATTTACATTCTCCGGTGTATTGAGGGCTCATATACGTACTCATTTAGGGATATCGCCTTATCAGTGTAATATATGTGATTATATCGCAGCTGACAAAGCAGCACTAATACGACATCTTCGAACACACAGTGGTGAAAGGCCATACGTATGCAAAATCTGTCAGTACCCTTTTACTGTTAAAGCAAACTGTGAGCGACACCTGCGTAAGAAGCACCTAAAAGTCACTAGAAAAGATATAGAAAAAAATATTGACTATGTATCTACAAACAAATCTGAAATGGTTGATGCTGTCTGTTCTCCAGACACTGTTTGCAAATGCTGTGGAGAGGACTTAAAAAGCTATCGTGCCCTTCATATACATATGAGGAGTCACACCAACTTTCAGAAAAAGAAACCATTTCAGTGCAAAGAGTGCGGCACTGCTTTTTCTGCCAAAAGAAACTGCATTCACCACATTCTTAAACAGCACCAGCACGTACAAGAGAAAGAAATAGAGAACCATGTTTTATTATATGGGTCCTGTAGTCCAGAGCAAACTAGATCAGACACTCCACTTTTGGAAGAAAGCACTTACCTTGATCGGAAAGCAACGACATCTTATGTGGAACCGCAGAATGGATTTCTTCATGGGGGGATATCTACTTTTAAACTTGAACCTACTGCTAGTTTTCCTATGGAGCTTGATGAGCCCTTGGACTTTTCTCAAAAGAACAAGAACTCTATTGGGTTCCAAGTAAAGGAGGAGCATGTCTACAACTTGTCTCTTGCCTCCTATGATTCCTCTATGGAACCCATTGACCTGTCCATGCCTAAGCATTCAAAAAAGGACAAAGATGACTCACAAATGCAAGCAAAAACACAAGAGCAAATAGGAGGCCCTATTGGCCAACCATACAATTGCCAGCCATGCCCATTTCCCTTAAGTGCCAATGAAATTCTAGAGAAAGCTGCAGCTTTTACACATTCCAAACCAGTGAAAACCCCTGTGCATTTGACTGTCCCAGTCATTTCTCCTGCTGTTCTTGGAAGTGCAACTATCCTTCGACCTTTGAGGCCTAAGCCACCTCCTCTTTTGCCAAAGCCTGCAGTTTCTAAAGAACTACCACCCCTGGCTTCAATTGCACAGATAATATCTTCTGTATCTGCTTCTGCTTTACTGAAAACAGATGTAACACCCACTTTACAAGTTGCTGCCAACAGCTCATCAGCTACTGACAAATCTGTGGCTTCCAAGGCGACAATCCATCAGAAAGAACCCATGGTTTCCAGTGACGCTTCTCAAACTAGTAGAAATTCTGCTAGCCCAGCTGACGTCAGTACAGCTACTGCTTTAGTCGTAGGAGCAAAGAAAAGGGGCAGAAAGAAAGGAACAAAAAAATAAACCTAAAGTGGCTGCTGCTGTAGACCTGGAATCAAGTGGTGAGTTTGCAAGTGTTGAGAAAATGTTGGCCACAACTGACACTAACAAATTTAGCCCTTATCTGCAATCCACTGATCACATTAAAGATGCTATGGACAAAAATGGCACCAGTGAGGATGAGAGAGATAGTGGAGAAGAAAAAAGGGGAAAGAGAAACTCTTACTCGAACTCCTTACAAAAAATAACATGCCCCTACTGCCCTCGTGTTTTCCCCTGGGCCAGCTCCCTGCAGAGACATATGCTCACTCACACAGGTAAGTGATTCTAGAATGCTACAATGTTTCTTAGGCATGCTGTTTATTTAAATTGGGCACCTCAATAGGCAATCATGAACTTTAACCTTTACTAAGCAAACAGGTAGGTTTATTTTATTGCAGAAGAGACACTGAATGCCTCTTCTCCAATAAGGTGCCTGCTTGTTCAGTTTTTTTAATTAGCAACTTAAAAGGGAACTAAACCCTACTTTCCTTTTCTGCCAATGAAGCTGCCATCTTAGCCTGGAACTTCCATGATGCTGCACATGTGGTCAGTTATAAGGCCAGTCATTTCATGGTTTAACAGTTTGGTTGAGAGCACAAGCAAATGTGACAGTTAGCATTCCCGGCATGCCAGGAATATAACTGTTTTTTTAATTATTAAATTGATGGTTTTAGTTCTGCTTTAACCACCTCAGTACTGGCCACTTTTTCACCCCCTTCCTACCCAGGCCAATTTTGAGCTTTCAGCACTGCTGCATTTTGAATGACAATTGTGTGGTCATGCAACACGGTACCCAATTTAAATTTGTATTTTTTTTAGACAGATAGGGTTTTCTTTTGTTGGTATTTAATCACCACTGGATTTTTTTTTATTTTTTGCTAAACAAATTAAAAAAGACTGAAAATTTTTAAAAAGAAAACAAAACTTTTTTTTATTATTTCTGTTATAAAATTTTGCAAATAAGTATTTTTTCTTGTTCACTGATTAGGCTGCAGTAATGGGCACTGATAGGCTCTGATGAGACTGCACTGATGGGCACTGATAAGCTGCACTGATAATCTGTGCCCTGATTATCAATGTAAACAAATTGCTGATAGTCTTGCTGGGTATCGGCTGTCTCTTCCTTACACAGACACAGCGTGTGAGGAACAGACTGCCGACAACTGGGATTGGACACAGCTGGTTATATGGCAAAGGGCTGTTGTGTTGGCCCTTTACCGCTATCGGTGGTCAGCTGCATCCAAAGGACACAGCGGACACAGAGCTCGCCTGATGTGCTTTCTGGGAGGACATCTATAGACGTCCTCCCAGAACTAAAGAAGCACGCTGTAGCCGTCTTTCAGCTATAGCGTGGAATTACGTCCCGCTTAACTGTTTCTCAGAACTGTTACATTCACGGCATGGCTCTGGTGATAACAGTCACAGTAGGGAGTGTGCTTATGTCAGCTCTCAGCTGATCTTTCAAACCCTCAAATGGCTGTTGTAATATCTGGTCACATGTGCAGCACCATGGCAACAGCAGATCTACATGTAGACTCCATCTTCAGTTAAAAGGGTAGGAGGGTTTAGTTCTGCATTAATTTCCTCATCCAGAACAGGTACAATAAATGTACCAAAGCCAGAGACAGCCAGGCAGCTAGTATTATAGGGCTCATGCACATGAGCGTAAATACAGGTGTATAAAATGTGCCTGTATTTACACTGCCCATGAGCCCCAGCCGGTGTGTTCGTCTGCCCTTAGGTCTGTATTGACATAATGCGCTGAATACAGGTATATGCAGGTAAATGACGGAACTTACATTTACGAGAGCATGCGTAAGGGCATCATTTTCCAAACCTGTGAGCTCCTGCTGTACACCTGTATGCCTGTATTTACATTCATGTGCATGAGCCCTTATAAGTATGTTGGCAATGGCAGCCTACATAATAATCTTAGTTTAATCCAATGAAAGATTTGTATGTTATAAAAAAAAAATCTGTTGGCGCATGTCATGAATTAGTCTTTTAGTCAGAATTTCAGCCCCCACTGCAGCAGCAGAGCTTTGGTCGAGAATACGGGTGAAATACATGGGCAGCCTGCTGCGTATTGATGAGGCCATCAGGACCAGTTGTCACCATTATGGGTGCGGGAAAGGCGTGTTCCGTGCAAGTTTCCTGCATATTGTTCAAATGCATTGATCTATAATGCAGGTGCCATTGTATTCTTAACGGCACCCCAAATGCAGATCGCAAATCCAATGCATTTGCGGGCCCCAAATCGAAGTACCACGTGGTTTGGTGCGGTGCGTTTTTAAAATGCATGCACTACTTTTTTGCATTTGGTAGTGTGGACACACATCAGTCCGATCCTGGTGTGAACCAGCCTTCAAGACAAAGAATGGTACTTACATTAGGTGATTAGTACTACCAAGAGTAGTACCATGGGAGCATTCATATTTTGTCCTAGCTTTCACAACACACCTAGAGATAGTCAAAGTTCTAAAAATAATCTGCTTGATCTTCCCCTCCATCATAATATTGAAATAGTGCATACACCCCACATCACATATTCATATGAACGTACACTAAAGCAGTGAAATATATACTGTGCATTACATATTATAATAAACGTTGATGTCTTCCAGAGTAAAAAAAAAAAAAAATTCCGGAAACATGAACAATCCCAAATTACTAAAATATAATCCATAGTGCAGCAATACATATTAACTATCTTTAAGAAGAGGCATAGGTCAGTGTGGAGTCTGTGATTGGCACTATTGCATCCCCGAAGATTGTGAATTGACTGAAAGAAGCTTTGCCTCATTCTTGCAGTACAGGGGGAGACATGGATATCCATGTAATTAGGCAAAGTGTGATCACATGACAGCTTGGAAGTAAGGTCTGGTCTATGTGATCTCCTAATGAAGATTTAGCTGTTAATTAGCAGTGAAACGAACAACTCGAAACAGATTAAAGCAGAGTGGGTTTTCATAATGCTGCTTTTGTGTCCAGGCTAGAGAGGCTCGCTTGTTCTAAAGGGTATTGTTGCCCTCCCTTCTCCCTCCTCTTTTTGCTTCAACCCACAAAACTCCTGACTCTTGTGTCAAGTCATTTATCTAAAATTACTAGATAGTGTATTTATCTATCTCCATATTATCAGGTACCTCCCATCATGGGACCTGTTTCTCTGCATTGTTTCGATTTATAGGAAACCATCAGATGAACCAAACAATCAGGTCAACTAAATACTTTGTTTCCTCCTCCAGGTCAGAAACCCTATCCCTGTGCACAATGTGATGCCTACTTTTCTACCAAATCTAATTGTGAGCGCCATCTCTTACGCAAACATGGAGTTGCCAACCTCTCCTTGCGAAGAAACGGTCTTGTGGCCCAGTCTAAAGAAAGTGATGCTGGATCACACGATAGCACAGGTAGCACTTGCATCTAGTGTGTTTTTTTTTTTTTATTATTCATCATTACTGTCCAGCCCTGGGCCTCACAGAATCATTGTTTTTATGGTGCAGGCATATGTTTCTTTTTATCATTTTATTGAAAGTAGATTTTAACTACGTCCAGGCTGCGCACTGTAGCGTTACTGCTACGGTGCTGTCCAGTTGTGCCAGATCGTGTATATATATATATATATATATATATATATATATATATATATATATATACATAGATAGATATGTGTGATCCAGCATTCCCGGGTAGGGGACGTGCACACTGTCCCGGCTATGCTGTTATTTGCTACAGCACAAGTCATTCAACAGGTCCTGGCCAATAATCTATGGCTGAGACCCGTTGAGCGAATGACAGAAGAAAGCTCTGTAGTGAACAACATAGGGCTCTCTACAGTCAGCAGCAAAGTGTCAGTCTTTTCCTCCCTGCAAAGCAGGGAGTAAAAACAGGCACATCGCTCATTGCAGTAAACATTGTTTGGCACACAGTTAACCCTTTGATTGCCTTAGATGTTAACCCCATCCCAGCCAGTGTAATTAGTACAGTGTATATTATTAGCTGTGTTCGTTTGTCCGTTCCCACAAAGTGTCAGTGTTAGATTGGCCGTCGCGCTATCACAGTCCCACTATAAATCGCTGATCACTGCCAATACTAGTATAAACAATAAATAAATATAAATTTCAGTGCATATATACCATTGTTTTTAGATGCTATAACTTTCACGTAATCCAATTATTATACGTTTATTGGGATTTTTTTTTTTTTTTTTTTACCAATTTGCATAGCAGAATACATTTTGGCCTAACATCATGAAATTTGTGTTTTTTTTCTATTATTATTGGATATGTTTTGTAGCAGAAAGTAAAAAATAGTTTTTCTTTTCCCAGAATTGTCAGTCTTTTTTCATTTATATAGTATAGTATATAGCATGACCGCACAATTGCCAGTTAAAGCAGTGCAGTGCCAAATAGCAAAAATGGGCCCTGGTCATGGAGGGGTAAAATCTTCTAAAGCTTAAGTAGTTGAAGGATCTCTAAAGCCAAGAAAAAAAATGTATTATATTGCATCCTACGAGTCCTTGGATGTGCATTGTTTTTCTTGCTGTTTCTGCTAAAATTGCATGTCCTTGTAACCTCCTGTGCACTGAACTGATATATCAAATAGTTTTGCCAACTATCATCTGTGAACCACAAAAAAAGTAAAGGTGGCTATACATGCCTCACTTTTTTGATCGTTGAGGTATGAGGAATCACAAACAAGTCATTCACTTGATTAAATATCAAACACTGCAATGCTTATGGTATCAATTGACAGTACAATCAAAAATAATAATTTAACTGATCTGTGTTATGGTCTGATGTGGTATTATGTACAAAAATATTCATTTGATCAGAAATTCAATCAAACCACAGCCGTTTGACTTACCAGTGCCAGAATTGATCAAAAGCTCACTAAATCACTTGGATGGTCTGTGGTTTATGATTATTATTCAATTTGATGTTTAGTTTAATTGAATGATCAATGGAATGGTCATATTGAAATGTGTAGCTACTTTAAGGGAGATTAGGAGAGAATGAGGGGTTTGTAGTCCAAATTGGGAGTCCATCTTGGCTCAACAGATACACTGGAGTCAGTGAACATTCTTTTTTTTTTTTTTTTTTTTTTAAGTCCAATGCTTTATGCTGAAAGTTTTAGATTTTTTTTTCTTTTACATACAAAACAGTCTAAAAAAACAACTTGTGCCATCTATCCAGCTCCGAATATATATATATATATATATATATATATATATATATATAAATAAGTTTGAACAGTCCTCTCATACAGCGATGTAGACAACAGGGGATGTAATACAGACCTACTAGCACTTGAAAGCAAACAATCATGAAACAAAAAGAAAAGGAAAGATATAAAATAAACAACTTGCATGCCCCTTGCAACTGCTATTAGCAATGATTTATTGTACATATGAAACCATATGCCTTTTGTATTAATTTTAAGCATCACCAGCATAACCAATCTCAAATCGTAAGGACTCTTAGAGGAAAGTGTCGGTCTTGTCAGAAGGTAGTCTTAAAACACGCCTTCCAGGGAGTTAATCAACAGGATAATAATCTGCTTAGAGTAAGGGAAATTGGGGCTAGATCTGAAGTAGCCAACCACAGGTTCCATATCTTTTAAAATCTTGTTTAAAATACAAGTTTCTCCCTAGACAGGACAATATTAGTTTGAGCTTTCCGTTCCGCCCAAGTAGGGGGGTGCAGAGATAACCATTTTTGTGCGCAAGCTTTCAAGCTTGAAAAAGAACTCTAACAATAGTACGTATTATCAAGCAAGGTAGATTAATCTAAGATGATTAGTAAGCAGATACTGGGATCAGTCACCAGGGACACCTGAAGTCCATTATTGATAGTGGTTAGCACCCCTTGCCAGTAGCGGTGTAGTTTAACGTTTTTACTCTAGGAAAGGAAGTGTATTACTAACAGGATCACCAAATGAGAATAAAGGAAAAATGTTAGAAAAATGAAACTAATGCAGACCACATCTAAGGTTCTGAAGTTCATAGCATTTTTGTTTTGGGTTTACATACACTTAAAACACATTGAAAACAATAAACATGTTGAGTAGCTGCATTGGTCTGTTTTCGAAGCACATTTGTTAAAAGTTGCCTTCTCTTTTTTACAGATAGTCAGTCTGATGCAGATTTATCAGCCGTGGAAGCTGATGTGCTAGATCTGACATCTGGGGACAGGGAAAAAGCAGAGCAAACTGAAGTTACAGAAAGCGAGCAGATGTCCATGAACAAGCCGACTGAAAACCTAACACTAGATCTGGAGAAGGCCAACCAGGATGAAGATGAACAGATAGAGGATGACGCTGTGAGCAACAAAAGCCTAGATCTTAATTTTGCAAGTAAGCTGATGGACTTCAAACTATCACCCAATGGGCAGGCTTCGAGCAACTCTTGTGATATTTGTGGGAAGAGTTTCAAGTTTCCTGCTACCTTAGGAAGACACAAGAAGGCACATTCATGTGAAAGCAGTGATCAGGAGAAAACCAGTGAACATGCAGGCAAGGATCTATCAATTCATACTTGTAACCCAGCTAATCAGGATTCCTCAAAGGAGACTGGAGACCAGGAAGAGGAGCTCCCGGTTGATTTAAAGGTGTCCAAATCTCCTGTGGAAAGTGAGCAAGCTGAACATAAGACAACAGATGGAGAAGGAGTCTCAGAAGAAAAAGTAGAAAAGCCTTTGGACAAAGGTGATGATGACAAAGATTCCAAGACTGAAACTAAAGGGACAAAAGCGGACAAAAGAAAGAAAATATGCACAGTCTGTAGCAAGCGTTTCTGGTCCCTCCAGGATCTCACAAGACACATGAGATCACACACAGGTTAGTGATTTCCAAGGTTTTCTCTAATTACATATATAAAATTTATGGGCACATCATTATCATAAGTGTTTCGTGCATATTTTTCACTACCATTGAGTGCACAAGTTAGAATGTGGTACACTGACACACAAACCACATCAAATAGCTGCGCCCCAGTTTTCTGTTTGACATGTTTAGGACACAATCATAAACTATCACATCAATTAACTGTTCTTAAAATGTATAAATAGCCAAGTGTTGTATTTTTTTTTTTTCCCAGAATAGAGTAAGAACTTAATAGAATCCTTGTCAAGTTATTGTTTTGCTGTCTCTGTCCTTTTGGGGGAGATTCCCCCTTACTTCCTGCACTGAAAACATAACATAAATTGAGAGGAAATCTCTCCAAAGTTATGGGGATTTTTTTCTTATATAGTTGTCACCAAAACTAGTGTCCCTTAACTTTCTATTGCAAAGACCAGGGTCACCAGAACTAACAGAAGTTTTGTCCAATAATGACACAGAACACAGTACAAACTTGATTGAACTTAACCCTTCCCTAAACTAAAAAAAAGTTTACATTCTCAAAAACGCACCAAAAAATGCAATGAAAAACGGATCAGTGTAAAAGCTGCCTAAGTTTATCATTTCTGGGGGTTTTTTTTCTTTTTTTTTGTTTATTTTATTCACACAGTCTGACCTACTTGTACCAATGTTTTAAACGTATTTTGTTGTCTTGTAGGTGAGCGGCCTTACAAATGTCAGACATGTGAACGCACTTTTACTCTAAAGCACAGTCTGGTACGCCACCAGCGAATCCATCAGAAAATAAAGGATATGAAAGGCCAGTGCAAGGACAGTGATAAAGAGGAGAAACAGCTTAGGGGTGAGGAGGAAAGTGAAACTGAGTCCCTGCAGAGCAGCACAAATCATGTATCAGAAAATGAATGTGACACCATCAAGTCTTAACAGCCACCCTGTAACCAGAAGTGAAAAAAAGTGCTGCTGAGGAATCATCTCAAAAAAATGAAACTGCTCCCAGAAATAACAGCTCAAAGCAAGCAGTAGGGGTGGATGTTAAAGACAGTTGAAGAAGCTCAGATTGTAAATCTGTACAAAGTTCCAACAAGGTGTTTGAAAAGCCTGCAAATAACATACATCTAGTATCAGAGGGTTCCTTGCCTGTTGTAGGGATGAAATGAGCCAGAGATGTGGAGGGGTTGTTACCCCTCTGGATTGCTATGACAGAATCATACTTACACTTGATCCACTTTAAGGATGTTGTGACAGCTATATGGGATTATGGCAGGCCATATCATGTGCCATAACCTTAAAGTAAAATGCAAACTTTACATGGATTTTGAGTGCCTTACTACTTTATTATATTTTGCTACCACATTTTTCAATATACAGTTTTATATGTAAGAGAAATTAAAAGAATTATTCAGAAGTGGACATTTTCCAGTAAAGCATTATTTTTTTCTTTAACGTTTGAAATCTTGTTTCAGTACACCAATCACTGTCTTTCCAGAGGTGAACATTTAAAGTCGTGGAGAAAGCCATTCAGATCTAAAGCCAACAACTGGAAAACAAAATGAAATGGACAGAGAAGGATTAATTTAAGACCTCTTATTCATTCTTTAACCCACATATGAGTCTTGGTTTTTGCTAAGTGGACAATAGTGGAACGATATTCTTCTGGGATGTGCTGAATGAGAATATTTACAAAATCTATGGCAGTTGCTACAACCAGGAAACAAAAAGATTTATATCTCTATGAACTGTACAACTTGATCTACACACAACGTGTCTGAATGGTGTTACTATTTAGTAGTTCTACCTCCGATATACATACAGAGAACCCAGTGGAAACTTTACCATCCATAGAACTGTCCACCCCTGCCTATGTCTTGATTCTGTTTGCTTGAATTCAACAGCTTACTAGTCTCTGCATTTTGCAGAACCGTTTGGGCAATATTTGCCTTTCAAAGTGTACCAGGTAACTTTTGAATCCTGGTAATAATAAATATGTATAAATAGAACATTCTTGAGGTTTTTTTTTCCTTTTTGTTCTTTAAATGTTAGCCTTTGGCAGTTCTCTTGCATTGCACCATTCCAACCCTGTTCTCAATGAAAAGAGAGGCTGTGTGCATTAGAGTAAATGCAGACTTTGATGTGTCCTGTCATGGAGATGGAGGAGGGCAGAGGTGGACTGTCAAAACAAGCAAAGAGTTCTGTCTTCCAGCATCGGATGCCTTAACCATCATGTCATGACCATCATGTTTCTTAGGCAGGAATGTACTACTGGTGAAAAGGAGAAGCTACATTACAGTTTGTGCTATGGCGTTTGAAGATGAGCCCTGTTAAAAAAGAAAAAAAAAAAGTGTGTGTAAATAGATATAAACTGTGTGTAAGTTAGTTATGTATGGATGTGGGGGTGTGCGTGTATATGTATATTTTGCTTATATGTCTAAACACAAATACAAATGTGTATGGGATATATATATATATATATATATATATATCTTTACTGTAACTGTGCAATTTTCCCTCTGCAGTTTGTTGCAATCTCCGGAATGTTGAACATGTTAAATATTTACTATTGCATTACTATAGCCCCTATGCTTCCCTCTAGATCTCCTATGATTCTTTAGCAGTTAATATTTTTTATTTCTTTTATTCAAAAGATCATAATGACAAAGGTAAAACAAATAAATAGGTCCTATATAGCCCATAAAAGCAAAGGCTGCTATTACCTCTAGAAAGCAAACCATTCATATTTCAACTTGAGTTATATATACAAGAGTTTTTCTATGCACTTACTATCTGGCACTTTTGCCTAGTGCTGACTGCAAGGAAATTGGGCATTTCTGTAAACTGCGTTCAGCAATTGAATTTGTACAGATCAGAATCCCCGATGTCTAGTAAGCTGCAGTCCAAAAAACAGCCAGTAGAAGGCAATTGCAAAACGGTATGCCGCATTGTAAAAGCAAAATATCTTGTTGGAAAAATGCAATGTCTATATACTCTGCATCCTAAACATTTCAGCTTTAATGTCTCCTGAGTCCAATTTTATTGCAAGTATACATGTAAACTAGTAGAAAGATTTTACACCCAGCTTCTGAAAAAATTCAACGCGAGTAGTTTGTACTTGGAGGGAAGCATATTTGTATTTTTTAGACCACTGCACACATCTTTTCTGAACTTCAGTAAGAATCAAAGCAAACTTGAGAGGGATCATTCAGTAGAACACTGTCATCGTTATCTGTGCAATGCCTGACAATCAACTGAATGACCGGTAGAACAGAGCAGCAGCTATTGCAAAAATACATTGTAATTATTTGTAAATTAATATATTTCACTATGAGATAAGCAGTACAAAAATGTTGACACAAATTACTAGTCCTGAACCAGTGGTTCACAGAATATTTTTTTTTTTCTACCAGGTGTTCTTAATAATCAATTCAAATCAAATGAATTCAGTAGACCTATACCCCTGAATTTTAGTAATTTTATTATTTGTTGTTTCTCTACAAAATATTTTGTATATCTCTAACTTGTCAGAAGAGTGGGACGTTTGTTAGCAATAATCAAAATGGATTGAAAGCTTTATTTAAATATATTTGTACCCTGATAGATAAGGTCTGTTCTTCTTTTACCAGAAAACAAATATCCTTACATGTATTATGAGTTGTTCCCAGACCGTTGTGTCACTTTGGTATATTAAACTGTGAAGTATACACCATGATTAAACTCTGGGTGAAATGTAGATTTAGCTTGCATGGTCGGCTTATTTTGTGTCCCCCCCCCCCCCCCCCCCCCCCCCTCTCTCGTATTCCTCTTCTCAGGGCTTTGCAATTTGAATTTTCTCTATTGTTATTTTATTTTTATTTTGTCGTATCTGAGTTTAAAAATGAATTGATAAATATATTTAATAGTTAGGTAATGGAATCACTACAATAAGCACTTGACTGTGAATGCAATAAAAGCCCAGTCACATAGATAGCTATCTTTTTATAAAGCCTGGGCTACACAACAGTCATAATTCCAGCTTCACAATGATTCTTGTTTTCTTCCTTTCTTTGTCAGCACGAACAACATTACTGTTGGTGAATACAACCCATTATTGTAACCAGAAACTACTATAAAAATGTAGATATTCGTATTTTTCTAAAGGGAAATAAACTGCTGCTATGCATTATATACAAGACTGGTCTATGCCACATGAACAGAGAATCACTTTTGTTTTGGTACTTGTATTCCTTCTTTTTATTCAGCTGTACAGTACTTCCAAAATCAAAATAAAAAGCTGTTCTGTATCAAACAATCTAAGCAATAAAATGTTATATTTAAAATGGAAAAAAATGATGGCTGATGTTGTTTTGTGTACAGTCCTACTTCCATTTGCAAAACACGGTGTACATATAATATCAGAGTCATAGAAGAAACATGTTACATACTAACTGGGAAATACATTTCCCAAACTAAAATAACTGCACACCCAGGAGACGTGTTCTTGTAGCTTTATTAGTGTCTCTATCCTTATGTGGGCCCCTTCTAGTTATAGTGTGACATTAACCAATGATAGGCAGAGAACGATCCACATTTAGGTACCGAGTATAAAACTTTATGTAAATAAAAAATATATTTAGTTCAGTCATGTATTCAAATGTTAACACAAAATGCAAAGCAAGTTAACACACTGCCATATTGTATTCTGAAATTCTAAAATGATCTTTATTTTATCGTTCCACAATACGTCTATGCAGCAGAAATTAGAAGAGGCATATGACCTCACTTTCAGAGGCATATGACCTCACTTCCTTTCCCAGTGACCACATATGAAGTAAAGGAAATCTGCTTTGTGGGTATACACAGACAGTAATAACTTGACAGAGGCTTTAACCCCATGGTGCCCAACCTTTGGTTCTTAATGTAGAAAGGTATATAATGTGTGGCCCTTGGAGCTCAGCAGTCTGTAGTGGGAGCGCTGATTAGGGTAATAGCAGTGATCTCTATTAGCCTCATGTAACTTGTTCCCAGTTTTGTATTGTCTTTTCCAACATACCTGTCAAAAATGTCCATGCTCTCTGACCCTCATTTCCTTTTATTAGGTCTGCAGCTTCTGACAGCCCTTTCAAGCATTACATATAGTGAACATTATGTGTGGCCCTTTGGTGATGTCAAGGGCCACATTTGGGGCCCCCTTCAGCTCACAAGTTGACAACCACTGCTCTAAGGGCCAGTTCACAGATGCCTGAACATGAATCATACATGTTCATGTGCAATTCAGACCGCATGCAAAATGCGCTCTGTTTGCGATCTGCAGCAGGTGTCAATAGAAAGCTACAGTGAAGGAAATAAGTATTTGATCCCCTGCTGATTTTGAATGCCCACTCACAAAGAAATGATCAGGCTAAAAATCGAATGGTAGGTGTACTGTAACCTGAGAGACAGAATAGCAACAAAAAAATTCAAAAGAAATGCATGTCTAACAAATTATGCACTGATTTGCATGTTCATGAGGGAAATAAGTATTTGATCCCCTATCATTCAGCAGGATTTCTGGCTACCAGGTGTCTACAGTGAGGAATCATCCTAGAACTACACGTGAGGATCTTGTCAATGATCTCCAGGCAGCTGGGACCACAGTCACCAAGACAACAATTGGTAACACACTACGCTGACAAGGATTGAAATCCTGCAGTGCCTGCAAGGTCCCTCTGCTCAAGAAGCCCATGTCCAGACCCGTCTGAAGTTTGCCACTGAACATCTGAATGATGCAGTAGAGGACTGGTTGAAAGTGTTGTGGTCAGATGAGACCAACATCGAGCTTTTTGGCATCAACTCAACTCGCCATGTTTGGAGGAGGAGGAATGTTGCCTATGACCCCAAGAACAGCATCCCAACTGTCAAACGTGGTGGAAACATTCTGCTTTGAGGGTGTTTTTCTGCTAAGGGCACAGAAC